GAAGTTTAATGAATGTCTTACAAACACGTATGAATATCTTATGCAGTGGGAAGCCAGATGGAAATAAATTTACGTCAAATATGCAATTTATAAAATCTTATGTCGACAGGCTACGTAGCACAGTGGTCTAAGGTGGTGTTATGGAGGGGTCAGGGTCTGTGGTTCGAACCGCGACAGCGCCGTATTTTCTTATTTTCTTTATTTGTCTTGTTTGTCGTGAATAAAAAGTGTCATAAAAGTGCTCTATCTTCCACGGGAATAAATAAAAAATTTACTTTATTTCTTCTTTATTTCTTTGTTCCCGTGGAAGAAGGGTTTTTGCCGTTTTTTCTCAGCCGAAATCAACGATTTTTTCATTTTTGGAATCCTTAGCAAATGAGGAATCTTTTCTCTCGTGGAAGCTTTGACCAAAAATATAATTTAGGTGAAGAGGTGAGATTTCACCTCTTTTTTCACCTAATTTTTCACCCTCATGACTTTGTCATAACTTCTTCGTAAATGCTTTGTCATAACTTCTTCGTAAATGCTTTGTCATAACTTCTTCGTAAATGCTTTGTCATAACTTCTTCGTAAATGCCTTGTCAAGATTTCATCGTAAATGCTTTGTCATGACTTCTTCGTAAATGAGTGTAAATGACCAAAAATATAATTTAGGTGAAGAGGTGAGATTTCACCTCTTTTTTCACCTAATTTTTCACCTCTTTTTTTCACAAGCGTTTTACATGAATTGTACGATGTATATTTGAAATCCTAAACAGTTTTGTAGCTTCTATTTCTTCGCTGAGGATATCAAAAGTTTTAACAATGCCGAAAGTCTCTTTATATTTCTTCTTGACGTCAGATAGAAGGAAATCTTCTACTGTTGGATAGTTTTTGTTCAGAAATGCTAACATGTCCATTTTATCTTCTGCTGGCTTTTCTGCTTCTTTCTTTAAGTCTGCATAGTCGTTTCGCATTCTTTCTATCTCTTTGACGGAGTAGTTATATTTCCTTATTGCTGCTTTACATTTTGAACATTGTGGGTTCATTTTTGCATTATACATTGAAATTTGACCTGCTAGAACAACTAAAGCGTCAATTGCTCTCTTCATCTCAAACATAGCGGGTCTTAGTTGTTCGTTCCATACTTTGCCTCTTCTATCTTTATCTCTTATTTCCCAAACACATTCAGCAACTAACGAAACAAAGTTGTCGTAGGTCTTAAATTCTTCAGATTTATATATGTCAGAAACATTCTTATATACCATATCGCAATCTTTGTCCATAACTTTATGGTTGCAATGAAAACCAAGGAATTCATAATTTACTTTACGTATGAACTTCTTTATTTCTACTGAGTCAGTTGCTTTGACTTCAATTTCGTCGAATTCAGGAATAGTTAGTTTTTGATGCTGAATTTCAGGTAGTTTAGGTAAATGGTCGATGAGGTCCTCCATTTCATAAAGATACTGTTCATTTGTTTCATCTTTCGCACTACAGTCTAAATTACTTGTTAAAAGTTCCTGCTTAATTTTTTGTATTTCTGTTTCGAAAGTAAATGAAGAAGGAATGAAGCTTTCCATCTCTACTAACATAGATGTTGGATTCATGACTAACGAGTTTGGTGAAGTTGTTGTGGACAGAGTCCCGCCGTTCGCGGCTTGAATTGTTGTTGTGCCGATTGTTGAAATCATATCTTTTATACAAAATAAAAAATAAATAAAAATAAAACTAACTTTATTTTTTCTATCTTAAGGAAATTCACGAAAATTCAAGAGGTGAAAAAACAGGTGAGAAAACAGGTGAAATCTCACCTCTTCACCTATAATATATTTTTGTCTGATTTACATCCAACGAAAAAGTTTAGAAGAATTTTCTTATTCTTTCTGGCATGTTTTTATCTTTCCAGTACTCCCGCTCTAATGGTCCCAGATGAGTTGGTTTAGATTCTCTCAAGTTCTTAGATGGTATAACATCTTCAACGCCTCCTTCATATCTTACTTTATAAGTGTCATCGTTTATGTTGTAGTCAAGTATTTCAATAACCACTCCTCGCTTTGCTTCGTCAATGGTTTCAGCAAGTTTGCCATTACTACTTTCGACTAATTTATGACGAGGGTAAAATGCTATGGAGTCGTCAGCAGCTTTTATAAGATATCCATTACCTTGCGTAGAGTCTACGATATAATAATTTCGACTTAACCTTAAACGTTTCTTTGTCAACGGTTTGTCGTCAAGAACTACACGAACTTTTGTTCCAGGAATGAGAGTAAATTGTGTTGAATTTCTGATATTTTGTGTTTGACTTCGTTTCTTTTGTATATACTTTTCTTCTTGTTGTTGTGTCATTGAATTTGGTGTATGTCCTGTTGTAGAATGTGTTGAGGAATTGTAAACTTCGATGAAATGTTTCATTGTTTCTTCGGTAAAGTCTCGCTCTTGATTTAAATCTCTGAGAGTCCTTATGAAGCGGTTAATGATACCGAGTATGTTATGGTTATGGTCTTCAGTAGTGTAGTGAGTTATGTTATGCTTAATGAGAAATTCTGTGATTTCGTTGCTGAGGTATGCACCGTCTTGGTCTGATGTTAAAATACTTGGGCTATGTTCTGCTACAAACTTTTGTAAAACTCTTAACACTTCATGAGTTCCTTTATTTCTCATTATATACGCAAAAGCTTTGCGAGTGTTAACATTAATGAAGATGAGGAATGGTTTATGTCCTCCTTTTCTGCTTTGAATGAGAGTGTCAAATTGGTATGCGTCAGGAGTGTTGGAGTAAATTGGTAAAAAGTAGTCGTAAGGATTTATTTTTGTTTGATGTACAACATTTTTGTCAAAGAACCTTTTCACTTCAGCTCTGTTAGTAAATCCCGAACTCTTTGCAGCTTCATTGAATTTCTTAAAAGACCTCCATGGATGTTGTTCGAATACTTCTTTCAAGCTCATTTATGTAAAGTTAAAGATTTTAACCAACTCGTATCCAAGCGTGCATTGTTATATAAGGAGGCATATAATCTTTTCCATTACCTGCTGGGTCTGTAATACCAGCTACAACATGTGTATGATTTCCTGCAGTTCCACAGAAAATACCTGTGCTAACATCTTTGGGGTCATCTGAGATATCATATCTATTCATTCCCTGTCTATTCGAACCCGCTGCAAGATTTATATAACCTCTTTTTGTTATTGAATGTGAATGGTTTCCTTCCACAGATGTTCTTCCACTGAACCTATGCATATGTGAAGGAAGGTTTTCAATACCTATTTTCTTTGAACCTCCCATCTTCATTGACTGCGTATTAGTGTAGAATGGAAAACTGTCAACTATTTCATACCATCTACCACCAAATAAAGTGTTTGGATTTATTGGATTCATAGACGTATAAACAGCTCCTATAGGATATATTAAATCATATATGCTCATAACTCTATAAACATATTCTAAAGAACTTATGTCATTAAATACCATTTGGAATGTATCTCCCGGATGAAATGTTGCATTTGTTCCACTTTTATAATGTAATGTTAGTTCAATAGAATTATCCAAGAAAAATTCAAAAGTATCTGGTTGAAGACCTCTAACAAATTCAAATGGAGTTGCTGGTTCACCATTTATAATTTCTGTTGTAAATGTCATTGTATCTGGTTTCGAAAATTTCTTTGTTAGTTCTGTATCCACATAAGTTTTGTCGGCTTTACTGTCTAACATTGCTGGTAGTTCATATGCTTCAAAGTTTCTGGCATGACCTTCGATATTCCTGCAACTCTTATCTAAATTGTTAAGAGTATCTTTTACGCTTGTACTCGGATTCTCTAAAGGTGCACTTGAACCCAAATCATAGTTCAATATTATGTCGTCTGCTCTAACAGTAGTGAAGGATTTATGTGTATGATTTTTGTCGGCTTTACTGTCTAAAGAAGTTTGAAGTTCATTTATATCGGAGATATTGTGTTTATGAGATTTCAAAACTTTGTTCGTTGCGTCAAGTTCTGTTTTGTCAGCTTTACTTTTAATAGCATCTTCAAAAGTTATTTTTGACTTAACTCTCAAAGTAAATCTTGGTTCAACTAATACACCGTTAACAAAGAAGTATGAAGCATAAATTTCAGCGTTATAACCAAATGATTGTGGTGCTATACCTGTGTCATACTGTACAGTACAGTGTATGTCATAACCTTTAGCACGAATGAATTTATATCTTCTTTCATTAACATTTTTCGTATTCACTTTTTCACCCTGTGTTAAATATCCATGATAGTCCGTTATAATCTGTTCATCAGAACTTATATAATGAACATGGTTTTTGTCTGCTTTATTGTCTAAAGAAGTTTGAAGTTCATTTATATCGGAGATATTGTGTTTATGAGATTTCAAAACTTTGTTCGTTGCGTCAAGTTCATTTTTGTCCGCTTTACTATTTAATGTAGCTTGAAGTTCATTTATATCGGAGATATTGTGTTTATGTTCTTTATCTGCTTTTTCGGCTAATTTCTCTTCTATCTCATTTATTTCAAGTTCATGCCTACCACCACCTCCCGAAGAAGTATTTTTCTTCAGCTCTTGAAGAACGTCCACTTCGCCATCTTTGGTGTCAATAATGAGACTTTGAGTTAAAACCTTTCCTGTCTTAATGGATGTTTGTAAAACTTCTTCTTCACCGTGTTCGGGGTCATCGTCGTCATATCTTGTGAAATCAGAGATGTTGTCATACATTAAGCATATCTGTCTCAAAAGTTCTGCTATTTGAATTGGAACGAAAGATATACAGAACTTTCATCATCTCCTAAAGTCAAGTCTGCTTTCTTAAGTATTTCTTGAATGTATGCAATGAGAACAGAGTACCTTGGAAAATATTCGAACAATATTTCATTAGCTGTTGGTTTTGGTGGTTCTTCTGGAGTTTCTGTTGTTTCAGTTCCTTCTGAGTTCTGTTGGAGTTTCTGCATCTCTTGACTTCAATGCTCTTGCTCTCAAAGACCTAAATGTTAGAGCACCGGGTTTTACAAAGGACTTTATAAATGCTTTAATAGTTCCTGGTAAGTTATTGTTAGCATTAAGTAAGTTCCTTATGCTTCCATCATGTACGTCCATAGCACTATGTAAAAAATCTATACTTTTCTTGTAGTCAGCAATAGACTGACTGTGATTTTTTAAAGATTTGTCAATACCTTTAAGCCAATCTTCATGCATGTCTGATACTGAGCCAAGAATATCATTTGCTTCCTTTAGTGTATTTTGTGCTTTTCGTAAAGTATCCAATCCCGTACGTGCATTGTTTGCTATACGTCTTACAGTATCTATTTGACTCCTTGTTTCTTGCATCCAACCAGATAAAGTTTTAATAGTATCCGAACCATTTGAAATGAAGTTCAAAGCATTTTTAACGTCATCTAAAGCTTCTTCACCAAGTACTGCCCATATCTTTCCGATTTGGTATTGAAGAACTCCATATGAAGCAGCTGTTAAACCAGTATTTATAAGGTCCCATATCCATGATTTAGCAGTTTTTCCATCCTTTCCATCCTTTCCATCCAAACCGTTTTCGCCTTGAGGTCCTTGTATTCCTTGAGGTCCTTGTATTCCTTGAGGTCCTTGTATTCCTTGTGGTCCGGTGTCACCCTTCTCTCCTTTCAGTTCATCTTTATGTTCGTTATAATATTCTAATGTCATAAGGTGTACATCATTACTGCTACCAGCAACTCCTAATATTTGTTTCTCATTCATGACTAAATTCTTTAGGCATTTAATGTTGTCGTCAAATCGAAAGCTCTTTAACAATTCAATGAGAACATTCAGTACTTTCACTAATGAGGCATCTACTGTAGAATTTATATATTGCACCGTTCCATCATTTATGATAGGAACTTTACTTATTGTAATGAATGGGTCATAAGTGTTAAAAGTATCGAAATCAATGACTTTTTTAGTTTTTCCATCGTCAATGACTAAATCATTGCCTTCAATGGTTAAAGTTGAGTTTTCGTTTACTAGTTCATGTGCTCTTCTTGCTTCATTTGTTTCATACGCATATGCAGCAATAGTCATATTTTAATGAGAATAAAATGTTGTTCTATTTGCAAAGTACTGACCCAAACGAATACGGAACAGTAAAGCTACAAACAAACTTAGGTCTTCAGAATGAAGCGCTTGCTTTCAGAGTTGTTGACTTCAATACTATCGCAACTTTTGTCATAACAGATGAAACAGATTTCATGGAGTTTGAAATAGATGGAAAGAAGCATGAAATAAGATTTCACAATAATGTAGAATATAAGATGGAAACATTAGCTGGAGTGTTAAATGCGCTCATAAATACTACAATAAACAAGGAGAACGAAGAAAACTTAATGAATGTTAAACTTATTGCAGGAGTTTTGAAGTTCAGTTATGCGAAGGAGTTTAAGATAACACGAATGAGTCATAGAGTTCAATTGCTTCTGGGAGCATACCATATGACATTTCCTTTGAAAAGTTGACAAAACGATTGAGATGAAATCTGTTCCATACGTATGTTATGGCAATTGTTTATACATTGAGTCAAAAATAGCTAATGTCACAGGTATTTCAGGAGTTAATAGTAAAGGTTCAGTAGAATATAAGTCTTTCTGTTATGAAGTAAATTCAATGTTCATTCCAAACGTTCCTGTCATAGCAACTCATTTAGGTAAATGGGTTCGCATTAGTCCTCATAATTTGAAAGACATGCAATTCAGACTAGTTGACTTTCAAGGAGAGCCTGTAGAACTGAAGGCACCAGTGCGAATGACTGTTGAAGTAGACTTTTTAGAAAATATTAAATGCAACAGCTTACAAGAGAACTCAGAGCTAAAAATATAAAGTATGAATGTTATGTATTAGGTCATGAACTTTGGTTGTTGCTGTTTGATGAAACAAATGAGTTAGTTATGTCAGTCAAGAGAACAGAAAAAGGCGTCAAAGGCGCCGAGCGCAAAGCGCTATATTGTGTTAGTGAGAACTGCACCAAGTCAATAAGATTAGGTTTGCATTATGAAGATGAGTTCGATACTGTTGAAGAAGTTTTGGATAGATATTACAAATTGCTAACTTGAAATTTTTTTGACTAACGGCGCAAAGCGCCAAGATGGGCTCAAAGAGCCCTCCTGACTGCTTTAATTTACTAAAACATATTTCAAACATAATTTATATTCTGTTGAAAGTTTTGTATACTCGTTCGAATATTTATACTTAAACTCAACTCCTGGAGTACCTGGTATTTCAATGATGCGGATGTTACCTATTTTCATGAATGGTGGCGTTTGACCACAGCATTCGATTTCAGGGTCGAGATAGTCAATGACACATTGTTTCCCTGTTATTCGTGATATAACATTTTCAAGGTCCTCCTTTGTTAGAATTATTTGGTTCTTGCTTATAAGATTTGTCAAAAGCTTCTTATCGTCTTTGAGTAAGATAGTTTGATATAACTGAAGAAGGTAATGGTCTACGTTATCTGAAGGATTTGTTTGAACATTTGTGTAAGGGTTGTCGTTGGCTTCTCTTGAAAGAATTTGGTCCAGTGGTGGATACTCTAACTTAACATCTGATGTAGCGTTAGCGTTTGAAGCTGAGTTTAAATTCACGGCGCCATGCGCCAAGATGGGCTCTTTGAGCCCTCCCGACTTAAGTTCTGGTTCTTTTTCTTTCAAACACTCCGAACTATAGTTCTTTATGACAATATTGTTTGTCGTTCGTGAGTCAACATTTGATGTTGGTTCAATTGGAACATTAACGGCACCAGCTAAGATGGATTTGCTTCTCATTTCATATAGAATAAAAACCTTTTATATGTATGAAATGAACAATATACTCGACAAGGGTTTGAATGTAAAGCTAACGAATGAAAATATTGTTGAATTCACTGAGACAGGTGCTGTGTATAAAGATGTAGAACTACTGAACAAAAGAGCTAAGGGAAGAAGCAGGAACATGAACAAAGGGTGGAAGCCTATAAAAATTTATGTCAATGATGGCTCAGGAGGTTCAAACATAAAGTATGCAGAAAGTTATAGAGTTTATGCGCTAAAAGGTGAAAAGCCTTCATTTAAGAACAGCTATTCTAACGCATATCCTCAAAAGTTAACGGATGGGGAAGTGGATGATATGAATGACAGCAAAAATATTAACAGAAATGGCGACAGAGATGCATGGAATTTGTTTACCATCAGTCAATTGAAGGTTAAACTTTAAAACAATGTTGGTCGTTCCCATGGAATATTTTTGACTTTAATGGTATTAGTCATGATATGAATCTCAAGGTATGAACGAGGAGAGATGAGAGACTTATATGCTTCCCAAATTTCTTCAAAAGGTAATGTTATACCTGACTGTTTCCAAATGAGTTCAATATCATAGCGTGAGAAACCTTGAAAGATAACGAAGTCAGTTATGAGACGTTTTATGTTTAAAGCTAAAAACCTCCATGTTTGCATAAGTATTGCTACAGTTAAGTGGTAATGTCTGACTTTAGTAATGATGTTAGCTAATGGTGAGTCAGGCTTTGACACTAAACCTTTTCCGGCGAAGTCGTCGCAAACGAGCAGAGTGTTTGAAGGATACTTTTTGAAGGGGTATTTTGAAAGTTTTGACAGAATGTAGTTTGTAAGTCGTTTCATATCGTAAACTCCTGAGTATTGACGTAAGTGGTGTTTGTCAATAATTCTTTCCATCTCTTCTGAAGTCTTTTGCATTCCTGACTGTATAAATTCAACGATGGCATAATATTTCCTCTTACGTCGAATGTAACGTTGAAGAAATTCAATGAGTTCGCTATCTGGAACTTTAACGACAGAGGCTTGAACTTTTGACATAAATGTTTTCGCTGTTGAGTCCATAGAGTCTGAAGTTGCTGATATAATGATTTGGTCATAATATGAATCTTGACCTAAACGCTCTGTTATGAGTATATGACGAATGAGGTTAAATGTCTTACCTGACCCCATCTTTCCACAATAGAAATAAACACCATTTGAACAGAACTCATAGTCCTTACTGAAAGGAAGAATAAGAGAAGAGTTAAGTTTGTCTGTAGTTTCATTCATGTCTTCATCTACGTCATGTATTAAATGCTTCATTTTATCTCCATTAAAAATGCAAGTCAGAAATATTCAGAACATAGCACCGAGTCTAACTGACAAGAGTATAAAGATATACTATGAACACGTTATGATGAAACCAACCAAAATTCAAGAAAGTCAGTATACTTATGAATATCCAAGACACTGGGTAGAGTATGTAGGAGGTGAGAAAGCTATTGAAATAAGACAAGTTAGAAGTATTCCAGCAGGAAGGACAATATTATTGAAGAACTTTAATGTTTTGAGATATAATGATGAGACAAAGAAGCAAGATAGTTTTCCTATTGCTGTGTATGTGAACCTAGACACAGGAGATGACATGAAAGTTTTTAACACAAAGCTTCAAACGGTAGTGAGAGAACAACTGACTGCGGAAGGACACCCATTACCTTCAGAAGTTACCATAGCGTATAATTTTGAAACAAATGCAATAGATTTTAAAGTCGTCTCTGCAAAGAAGTCAGGTTTTACATTTAATGAAGCAGATGTATATTCGAATGAAAACTTCAAAGCTATTGCATGGTTAGATAATGACGATTGCTTTAAGAAAATATTTAAATTCAGTGACTCAACGATGTCAATAGATGACCTTCGTGGAATGTTACCATCGACGTTTACAGTAGAAGGTTCAGCAGGATTGCTTACAAGATTGTCAATTGGTGGTATTTGGTCTCGTGAGAACATTGTTATAAAATCCAGTATAAGTGAATTTGCTGAAGAATCTATATTATGTCTTTCAAACTATATGTATTCGCCGCCGAAGCATTATAGTATAACAAACTTTGTCAGTAAGTTTAATATAAGACTTGTTGAACCTTCTTCAATGAAAGATGTTGTGCTACCCAAAGACGGAAAGGATGGACTCATTATTGAGATGATTTTAATAGCATATTAAATGAGCTTGTTTTTAAAGGTCATTCATGATGAAATAACTGTTGTAGAAGATGTTAGCAATTGTTCAGACATTTTGAAGCGTATAGATGAGATAAGAAAGAAGTTTATGAATGAGAATGTTTATGTTTCATTGACTTTCTCCAGTAAAGAGAACTTTTATGAGATAATATTGAAGAGAGATGATTTTAATATGGTGTAAATGGTAGCTTGGGCAGCTTTAGGCGCAATGGGAACAAAAGCATTAGCATTTGGAGCAAAAGCACTTGGGGCTTATGACGCAGTAAATAAAATGAGTGGAGGAAGAGTTTCGAAGACATTAGATGCAAATAAAGGAAAGATTGGAGGCTGGGTTGCAAAGAAGTTAAGATTAAATAAAATAGGGCTCATAAATAAAGCATCCAATTTGGTTGCGACTGAGTCAGAAAATGCTTTAGGAAAGGACGATGAGTTTGCAAAACATGCAAAAGACTTTAATGACCAGATGAAAGGTGAAACAATGCATTTAAATAGAGTCGATGGAACTAAAGAAAATGTTTCTTCTCCACCAGTAGTTCTTCCGTATGGTCCCTATGGAATGTATGGAAACCCTTACGAAAGACCATTTGACCCATTGACTGGTGGAAGTAACTGGTATCATTACGGACGAAGAAGAAAGACAGTTAAGCTGGAGACAGACGTGAAGAAAGCAACTAAAAAGAAACCAAGGAAGAGAGTTATAAAGTAATGAATTCAACGGGTGAAAAAAGAGGTGAAAAAAGAGGTGAGATTTCACCACTTCACCTAAATTTATTTTTTCACCTCTGACAACGTTTATTTTTAAGTTTATTTTATTATTTAGCGAGAACGTTTATTTTTATATAAATGACAGAACAAAAGCAACTCATACAAATCAAAACATATAACAAACATACATTTAAACATTTATTCTTCCTTCCTGAGCATAACATGTTCTTTCAAATACATCCGAGACCAGTTGACTTTTCATTGACTGTGTATAAAGATAGAAATAGTTATATCATTAAACCATACGATGACGAAGGTAAGTTATGTAAATTG